AGACAGACAGACAGACAGACAGACAGACCGGCCATGAGAGAGAACGTGGGAAGTCACAGAAGATGGCCAAGAAGAGGGGGCTGTGGTGGTGCACCCCTGTCATCCAGCATTCTGGGAGGCTGAGGCAGGAGGATCACAAATTTGTGCCCAGCTGGGCAACTTAGTGAGACCCTGTCTCCAAATCTAAAATAAAAAGGGCTGTGGATGAAACTCAGTGCAAAATCCCTGGGTTCTACCCATAATACTGAAAACAAACATAGCTGTGTGGGGCTGGGGAGATGGCTCCATAAAATAAGCACTTGCCTGGAAAGTGCAAGGGCCTGAGTTCAATCCCCAGTTCTGCAAAAACAACCAACCAACCAACAACCAACCCCCCCTCAAAGAAAACCCCAAAACATAGCTGTGAGCTCTGAGATACCAAGCCAAGGAATTAGGGGGCTGTGGGCTGGAGATGTCACTTGTCCAGGTCCAGAGTGCTGAGGAGCCAGCCAAAGTATATATATATATATTTTTTTTTTTTTTTAATCAAAGAAATGAATTGCTGGGCATGGTAGTACAGGTCTACAAGCCAAACTACATGGGAGGCTGAGGTAGGAGGATCACACAGTCAAGGGCAGTCTGGGCATTTTTAGTGAGATCCTGTCTCAAAAAAAAAAAAAGTAAAAAAGCCTGAGGATACAGCTCAGAGCAAAGGCCCCGCTGAGGTTGTAACTCAGTCTCTGGTGCCGGGTGGGGGAAGCGGGGGAGGATTGAATGGCTGGCTAGGGTCATGCTCTAGGCAAGCTGGGTCATGCTCCATGGCTGTTCCTGCAGCCTGTCGTGGGCCGCCCTGAACCACGGCCCTCCTGCCTCCTGCCTTATCCTCCAGGGCTTCCCAGCTCTGCTTCCTCCCTCAGGGCTGCCTGGCTGTCCTGTGCCCTGCCTGGAAGACCTCACCCTCCTCCAGCCTCTACTCTTTGCCTGGGAAATTGCCTTTGCTCTTTTCTTTTTCCTTTCTGGGAAACAGGGTCTCACTAAGTCACTGAAGCTACACTTGGACTTGCAACCCTCCTGCCTCATTGTCCCAGACTGTTGAAATTACAGGTGTGCGCCTTTGTGCCCTGCTGCCATTTGCCCCTTTCCACACTTCTGGGGTGCTGTCCCTGAATGTCACTGCTTTCTCTTTCCATCCCCATTTCTCGTCACACTGAAGAGTCTTTGCACACAGCTCTGCAGGAGCAGTGTCATCTGCACTCAGGAGAGAGCTCCCAGGCTGTCCTATAGAGAGGCTGCTCAGGAGCACAGTGCTGCCGCAGGGTGCCGGGGGGGACTGGTGTGGCGTGAGGCCTTGGGGATCCTGGGAGCGGCTCAGTGGTCTGGAGGGAGAGTTCTTGAATCTGGTACCAGGAACATGGTTGGGGGAAGTGGGCTACAGATGGACACATCCGTCTGTGGGTCTCAGCATTTGGGGCTCTGGGGCTGGAGGACAGGAGGTGGAAATGGGTCACCTGAGGGCATGCTTAATCTCTGCTGTCCCTGGGAGGGGCTTCTTTTTCCTGAGGGTGGATCTTCCTTTAGCAGTGCTTGGGGGGGTCCTCTGCCACTGTCTGGGACTCTTGGATCAGCCGCCCCTCTGTCTCAGTGAGGCTGTTTGCCAGGACCAAGGAGTTCCCTGCACCGTCCACGTGCAGCCTGAGGCCTCCAGCTAGGAGGGGCCAGCGGCCCAGGGGAGGTGTAACACGTGAGTCCACCTCATTATTATTACGATACTTCATTTATTTTTAGATGGGGTCTTGCTCTGTAGTTGAGGCTGGCGTTGACTTTTACCACAGTCTTCCTGTGTCAGCCTCCTGAGTGCTAGCATGGCAGGGGTGCACGGCCACACCCGGATAATGGAGGTCCCTGGAGAAGGGTGGATGCCCTGGATGGCCACAGGGGATTCCTGGGGTCCGCGGCAACCCCAGCACACCGTGGCTAGCCAAGGCTGTCTCGCTGCAGCCTCCCACCGAGCCAAATGGAAAAACACAAAGGAACCCAAGACAGTTTCCTTTAAAAGGTTTTCATTTATTAGTCTTTTCTGAAGCAGTTAATTCTTTATTTTTTTTTAAAAAATGTGTTCCATCCAGAGTTACACCAGAGTGATTAAAATGAAATTTCTACTGGGGTACAGCTCCCCAGATCAACAAAAAGAAGAAAAAAAAATTTTCCAATGAACCACAAAAATAAAACCCAAGGAGAACATCAACAATCAAACATAATCCCCAAATATCCAGGACAAAAAATAAAATATTTATTGATCTATCACAGCGAGACACGAAGAGATGGGAGTGAGACATGCTCTGTAGTTATGGTGGCTCAAGGGAGGGTCGGGGGTACAGTACTGCGTGTGGGGAGATTGGGGCTGAGGATCAGGGTCCTGTCCCCCCAGCCCACACAGCCTCTCACACCCTGGGCCAGCATTGGGGTGTGCAGTGGGGTGGAGGCGGGGCGCAGGCTGCCACGACAGGTGTGCCCAGCCGGCTAGTGTAACTGGGCAGTTGACTGGGGACAAGAACGGAAGGACGGATGGATGGATGGACGGACGGGCAGGTGGGCTCCTCAAGAGCAAGGGGGCCATTCCCAGTGTTGTGTGTGTGGGGTCTTCCCGAGGATTTTATCCGGGGACTACAGAGGTTCCGGATGTAGGGAACAGCCATGGGGAGGGGGAGGGAGACAGTATGACTGAATCCAGCTTTAGGTTTCCGGCGCTTGGGTACCAACTGGACTGCAGCCAGGGGTGGCTCCTGATGGGCAGGGGGAGGTGGCACTGCCCAGGAAATGTGGGCACCATCTTCAGAGGAGCCCTGGGGAGGGGGATCCCCAAGGCTGCCCTTCCCTCCTCCTCCCCCAGGAAGACGAGAGCACCAGCGTGTAGCACCAATTTCCCCGAAGGTGGAGGCTGGCGGGTAGGGAGCTCCCAGGTGGGGAGGAGTGGGGAGGGCCCGATCCCACCCAGCCATGGCCTCTGAAGGAGGGGCCCCCATTTGGGGCCTGAGGCCACCCCGCTCTTGTTTCCTTGTCCTGTCTGTGGGTGTCCAAGGCCGCAGGTCTGCCGTCTCCTCCCAGGTGGGGTGGGGGTGGGGTGGGGTTTCAGAGGGTCTACATTCTCCACCAAGCAGTAGCACCAACGTAGATGAGGTCGAGAGTCAGGGGTCCCCCCGGAAGCTCACTTCCTCTTCCGGCCACAGGATTTCCCCAGGCAGGCCCCACCTAGGTGAGGGTAGGGAGACAGCAGTCAGTTTGGGCCCTCTGGGGTGTCTCTCCAGCCTGGCTTGTGCTGACCATCTCTGAGAAGCCAACAGATCCCAAGAGGACCCGGGCACATGCTGACCACTGCAGGGGCAGGAGGGGCGGCAAGAGCGCCCCAGATATCCGTGATGAGAAGGGGCCTCAGAGGGAAGGAAGCCTTTCAGAAAAGGGCTCAGAGCAGCCTCATCGAGAGCCCGTTTAAAAGCCAGGGCATCCGATCGGTAAGCTTAGGCACAGAGAGAGGGCAGAAGATCTTATCCATACCAGGAAAGGCCGGTGGGAAGAGGAACCCCGGGTCCCTGAGCCCGGTGGCGGTGGCGAGGGTCTGCCTGGCCGAGCTGTCAGCTACCCTGATCGGACCTGGCTCCAGCCAGCGAGGCTCATTCCCGCCACCTGGTGGCAGTGAGCGGGCCTACGGCGGGTTCTGAAAGCCTGACTCCCCTGGGGCGGCTGGAGAGCAGGCACACTGGGCAGGCCGCCTGTCTGGTTCTGTCCTGGACTTCCTGGCCCTGGCCTCAGCTGCCTCACTGTCCTGGGAAGCAAGTGCCGGTGGAAGGGAATCCACAAGTGACCACAGGGCAGGGTTGTGGTGGGGCTTTGGCAGCAGCCAAGAAGCCCGGAGCACCCTGGCCAGGCCTGGGGTGGGTGCTTTCCAGACGCTCTGCCCACTTGCTGTTAGGTCTGGGCCACATCAGCGGCCCCATCCAGCCTCAGCTCCTCGCTTGTTTAACCTTGATATCCTAGGACTCCCAGGGCCCCTCCGTAGGCCTTGGGGGGCTTCCCTGTGGAGGGGAGAGGGTGGATCCCACGTTCCCCAGGCCACACAGTCAACTTCTCCTGCCCAGCCTCACTCCTCTCCTCTATGCAGCCAAACCTGAGGCCTTTCTGTGGCTTGGTCCCAGCCTGCCACTGTCACCCTACATACTTGATGTCTAGGCCTAGCTCCCTCTGCCACTCCATTCCCTCCCAGTTTCTTCTCTCTTTTCTTTTCTTTTCTTTTCTTTTCTTTTCTTTTCTTTTCTTTTCTTTTTTTTTCTTTCTTTCTTTCTTTTCTTTTCTTTTTTGGCAGAACCAGGAATTGAACTCAGGCCCTTGAAGGGAAGCGCTTATTCCACTGAGCCATCTCCCTGGCCCCAAATCTAACCCCCTTTTTATACTTTTTATTTTTATTTTTTTATTTTTGGTGGAACTCAGGATTGAACCCAGGCCCTTGAGTTTGCCAGACAAGCACTTATTCTACTTTCCTTTCTTCTTCTTCTCCTTCCTTCTTTCCTTCCCTGGGGGTGGAACCCAAGGTCTTCATACTGAGTTGCATCTCCAACCTTTTAAAGTTTTTGGGACAAGACCTCACTGAGTTGCTCAGCCTGGGCCAGAGCTTGCGATCCTCCTGCTTCAGCCTCTCTGAATGCTGGCTGTGGGCAAAGCTATCTTCTCATTTGGTGGGAACTTGTCCGTCTCTCCAGTTCCACCCTGGGTTCCTGTCTTGCTCCCAAAACCTACTCAGTGCCAGGCTGAGACCCTGACAGTCGGGATCCTTGGCTCTGAGGCTGACCTTTCAGCATCTGGGACTCCTCTGGGGGCTCCCTCAAGCCCCCATACCAGAGGACCAGGAAGGGGCCACTCTGGCCGCACCCTGGGCGGGACTTCCCCTCCACCCTAAGAAAGGGCTCCAACCTCATGAACAAAAAGCCTTTTCATTGCCAACTTACCACCAACTCCCAGGCCCCCGGCACCGCCCCCTGGAAGACAAGGAGAGGGGCCATGAGTATGGTCAATTCCTGAAGCCTCGGAGCCCTCTGAGGACGGCACAGCCAGGGCCCTTTGGAGACTGGGTCTGGGGGAGGTGGTGTGAGAAGGGCCAGACTCTGGATAGCAGCCCCTCCCCCACTGATCCTCCGTTTACACTGTGCAAGACACGATGGAGAAGCTCTATCCCCAGGAACCTCAAGATGCATATGTTTGAGAAAAGCTGACATCCCTTGTCCCTGGGAGGAAGAGAGACAGAATGAGGAGGACCCTGGTCACTGGGTGTCTGTCCTTGCATGGTCTGAGGTCTCAGGGACCACAGGGGATACAGCTATAGAAGAGGAAGAAGCTAGCCAGAGCTCAAGACAGGGGTGCCCATGTACCTGGGTAAATGGGGGACAGTCCAAAGCCAGGTCTGGCTGCCACACCTGTGGGACAGATTTGGGATTGGTCGTGGGTTGGAGGCAGGTCCTGTTCTAGTTTGTCACCCGGGTCTCTCAGTGTGGTTCTACCCCTAAGCCAGGGTGGCTTCTCCTTAAACCTGCCCTGCCTTGCACCCTGTCCCACTGCACCCCTGCCTTCACCCCTCTCCTCCCCCGGCCTTCAGGAGCACCCTCTGCCTGCCCCGGGCAGGACTGAGGATTCTGCAGCAAAGCCAGCCCTACCTCCTGGCAGTGCCCTGGGAATGGCCCCTAGGACCCCACCAAGGCCAGCAGCACCTGGGGAGAGGGCACGGGGGACCAGTCGGGGAGGCCCAGTGGCAGGGGCTCTAACATTCCCCACCCCACTTCTGGGTCAGGGAAGCCCAGAGAAGATGACCACAGGCTGGACCTGGGTGGGGCAGGGTAGGGATGGGATACGAGTCACTAGCAGGCCTGGGAGGGGACAGGTGTCAGGGGCCACTCACCATATTTGGCTGCTTTAGCAGCAGCAGCTGGAGACACACCTGGAAAGGAGGGGTACAGGAGGGTTCAGGAACAAACAGTTGGGCTCCTTGCCTCCCCTCCTCCATCCATCATCCTGTGCCCTTTGTTAAGCTCCTACTGTGTGCCCAGCCTCAAGGCACATGCCAAAAGAGGCCTGAAGGCCAGTTCAGGTCAAGGGACCTGGTGACCCCAGAGGGAGACTGGCATGTCAACTGGGGCCCTGGTGATGGAAGCTTCGGGAAAGTGATTTGTCTTCAGGCTTCAGTTGCCTTGTTTGGAAAATAGGTGACAACCTTCCATTCCCAGTGGCCAGTGAGTTGAAAGAAAGGGCAAGGACAGGGATGAGCCTCTGGGGACAGCTGCCTCCACTTGCTCAAGCCCCTGCCCAAAACAGCGCTGCAGGACCTATGGATTTGGGGAAGAAGGTGCAACCTCTGTATTCCAGGACAGACATGGAGCTGGGGCAGGCAGGTGAAGGGGACAGATGACCCGCACTGGGGGTGGCAGGGGTGCACACAGGAAGGTTCTCTGGAGGAACTGACCATCTGCACCTGCCGTGAGGCCCTGAGATATACAGTGGGAAAGAAGCTCCGAGCTGGCCTCAGGTTGTTTCCCGGGCACCCAAGTGTGCCAGGCACCTGGCCCTGTCCTAGGCAGAGCCAGGGGTCTCCTCCTCCTGGTCCTCCCTCTCTTTCTTCTCTTCCTTCTCCTTGCAAGGGCTGAGCCAATATCCAGTATGGGGAAGAAAGGCTTTGCACGCATGCACGCACTGTACACACACACCATGCACTGTGCTCTCTGATCCCAGAGCAGCCTTACCTCCGAGGCCACCAGCCCCCAGTCCTCCGGCTCCAAGGCCACCAACCCCAAGTCCTCCTACTCCGAGGCCCCCGGCTCCCCCCAGTCCTGTGGAGAGAGCTGGGAGTTACATCTGCTGATGGAGGACTACTGCTGGAATCTGTCCGCAGAGGGACAGAGCACCTTTCAAACAACACAGGACCAGGAGCCTGGCAGAGTCCTCCCAAGCATGGCCAGTGCTTACCATACTGGGCAGCTTTGGCAGCAGCTTTGGCGGCAGCGGCAGAGGCAGCAGGCACACCTCCTGGGGACAGAGAGGAAGTTCAGGGAGTTATTGTTTGTGGGTCTCAGCCCCCTTTCCTGCCCAGCCCATCCTGGGGTTGAAACTCACCTACAACACCACCAGGGACACCCGCTCCTCCCAGGACCCCAGGTCCTCCAAGAGCTCCAGGTCCTCCAAGGGCCCCGGGTCCACCAAGACCCCCGAGCCCTGCTGCCCCTGTGGACAGAGGAGGGAGGGTAGGACACAAGGAAGCAGACAGGTGGCACAGGCAGTGTGACCCTGCAGGAGGAGCACTGAACAGGAAGTCCTTTCCTGAACATCCCAGCTGAGTCAGCACCCCTGGGCCTTGACCTCTCTGACACAGTGTTGTTATCTCCTTTTCCCTGTGCTGGTGGTAACAGCAGCGGCTGGGAGCTGCTGAATTCAGCCCAGGCAGCTCTGGTTCTGACTGCCCTGAGTTCGAATCCAGTTGGAGTTTTGGTTTCTGTACGTGTCCTAGCTCTGGTCTTTCAGGCCCAGAGTTTCCCTGCTCCCTCCGTGCTTGCCTTAGGGGCATTTGTGAACAGAGGGACTCAGCCCGAGAACTCTGCAGGCTGCGAGTGCTGGCTCAGTGCAGAACCACCCAGAACAGTAGCGGTTGATCCACAGCTGTCACTGGGACATTCAGTTCCAGGCGTTGCCACAGGAAAGGGAACCCCCAGCCCACACTGTGCAGGCCGAGCACTGAAGCAGAGTGGAGGTTAAGGCCCGTGCCCCAGGTCCTATGGCAGGAAGTGGCTTGCAAGCCATTGGAGTTCTTAGCTGCTCTGCTTGGTGACACCGCCTGGTTACCCTGGCAATGTCTGTTGACTCCGGCTGCTCAGGCCGCTGGCATGGAATGGGAGAGGAGCTAGGGTGAGTGGGGGCACCTGGCATGGAGCTGAGGAAGCTGGGATTTTCCGAGGTGGAAACTGGCCAGGGACCCTGAGGCCCCCTGCTGACTCCCAGGAGGATCACAGGGACAGGCGCACGGGTGCAGCCAGGCCACGCTGCCCTGGGCAGAGAGGCTGGTGGGGTGGGCAGGTCTGCCACGTCGTTGAGGCTGGCTGGCCAGGGCAGGCTTGGTCACGCTGAGAGGGGGGTGGGGAGGGGACAGGCTCCCAGATGGGGAATACAGATCAGATTGTACTCCACTCTGGAGGGGAGGCCACTCTGCCAAGTCTCAGTGACAGCAACCCCCAGAGCTTATGGAATTCAGGGCCACAGTGAGGTTTGGAAATGTGACAGGTGCTTTTGGTTGTCACAGAAGTTGGAAGCACCCTAGGCATTTAGCAGGCACGGGGCAGGGCTGTAACAGTGCTGGAAACTGCGTTGTTCAGTCCTGCCCGTCCCTAGCCTGTGCTGTCTGGGCTGGGCTGGAGTGGGAGGTAGGAGATGGGGCAAAGCAGGCAGCATGGGGTTCTACTTACTGTATTTGGCTGCTTTAGCTGCTGCCAGAGAGCCAGGTACTGGGAGAAAGAAAAGAGAAGGGGGTTGGTGGCCGAGCTCTGAGCCTGGGGCTTTGCTGCCTCCTCCAGGGAGTCTACCCTGACTTCCTCAGCATATACTGCTTCATCAAAGCTCAGCCAGGGGGTGCACACTGCCAGACACGGGACTCCAGGGTCTACGGATGCCACTGCTGATATGCTGTGGGGGTGAGCTGTGCTTCCCCCTTCTAGTCATCCCTTTCCATATTCTCTAGGCCCCGTATGGCTTGCCTGAGGTTGGGGGACATGGAGAATCAGTTATGCAACCGGGGGTATGGGTGTCTCCTTCCTCTGAGACTGGGGGACATCTGCCCAGCTCCCAGGAGGCACCTTACCAGCCCCAGCTCCAAATCCAGGGACACCAACACCAACACCAGCTCCAGCACCAGGAATACCAACACCAGCTCCGAAGCCAGGAAGCCCAGCACCAACTCCAAAGCCAGGGACACCAGCGCCCAGCCCAGCAGCAGCACCTGCAGAGAGGTGCACAGTGGGGTGGCGGCAGGGCAGGGAGCAGCCCTGGGGAGGTGGCTGCCTGGGGACAAAGTCAGGCCTTGGCCTGAGCAGCAGCCTCCTCCTTCTTCCTGGCTCTGCCCTGGACTCCAGCTGACCCTATGCTACCTGGGCATGGGCTTCCTAGGGCTCCTGCTGCCCCAGCCCACCCCACCATAGGCTGGGATTCGAGGGTACCCGAGGCGCCGCCCCCAAGGTCAAGAGGCCACTGTGGGACCCAGGGCCAGAGCCCAGGTCTCCGCCACCCTCTTACTGCACCGGTGCCTAAGGGCATGCAGGGAGGTCTGAGGGGCCAAGGAGTCCCGGGCTCCCGAGAAGTGGACAGAAATGGCCGGCCACTCACGGTACTGGGCTTTGGCGGCTGCTTTAGCAGCAGACTTGGCTGCAGCTGGAGTCCCGACTCCTGGAGGGCAAGAGGGGACTCAGGGATGGGGGGCATGGAGGCTTCAGGGCCCCCAAATCCACTCCTGTGGGCTGCTTACCTGTAATACCACCAGGTCCAATCCCGGTGCCAACACCACCAGGCAGGAGGCCACCAGGACCAACGCCAACACCTCCAGGACCAACACCGACGCCGCCTGGAACCCCGCCGATACCGCCTAACCCTGAAAACGTGAGCACAGCTAGTCCTTAGCCAGGGCCTGAGCGAGAGCACTGAGTTAGGAGCTGCGGTTCTGGTCCTGGCTCTGCCTGGCGTTGCTCTGTGACCCTGAGCCATGTCTTTCCCTGTATGGGCCTCCACTTCTTCATCCCCCTGTATGAGGTACATACAAGTTCAGGAGTACTTGGGCTTTTGAGGAGTAAGTCCTGGGCCACTTGTATGTGGTGGGAACAGAGCTGTATAAGGGAGCTCTGAGTCAGGCAAGGTGGCACATGCCTGTAATCCAGGTAGTCTGGGAGGCTGAGGCAAGAGAATCTCAAGTTCAAGCTCAGCCTGGCTTGAACTTGAGATGGTGAAACTATCTCAAACCTAGGTCCCCAAGGCCAGGCTCACAGGCCTGGCAACTTAGCCACTTAAATTCTAAATTAACAAAAAATAAATAAAAAGGACTGGGGATATAGCTCAGTGTAAAGGCTATTGCTGGGTTCAGTTCCCAGTATGAAATAAATAAATTAAAATAAAAGGATCCCTGCAAAGCAGGCAAACCTCAGCTCAACTCTCAGCTCCACCACCATTAGATTTGAGACAAGAGGGAAGTCACTGAAGCTGGGTGATCCTCAGCACATTCGGAAGGTGGGAACGATGACACCAAGATGGGCATGGTGGCGCATGCCTGTAATCCCAGCACTCAGGAGGCTGAGGCAGGAGGATCACTGCAAGTTTGAGACCAGCCTGGGCTACAAATGAGCTCAAGGCCAGCCTGAACTGCATGGTGAAACCATCTCAAAAAGACAAAAGCAAACAAAGTAACTGAAAAAACCCTCCACAAAAACAACACCCAACTTCTTAAGACCGTTTTGTATAAGTGTTTTGGGGTGCAAATGAACCTGAAGTTGAAACATTCTTTGGCTTAGCCAGCCCTAGAAATTCTGGTCTCAGTCTTGCTTTCTGTAGGTCCCCAAGGCCAGGCTCACAGATCAGGGTCTGCCCCACAGTGGGGTTCCATATGCAGCGAAGTGTGGGTGCCCAGGGCTGACAGGGTGACCCTCAGAGGGATCCAGAGGGACAGCAGTCATATGGGGTGGATGAGGATGGGCGCTCAAGGTCCCCAGAAGGGGCAGGCTGCAGCTGGCCCAAAGGGCGCAGGTCATGGGGAGCTGGAGGCAGGTGCTGGGGAGTTCATCAGGCACCTGCTCAAGCTGGTTCCCTATCAGGAGGCATCAGACCCCTGGGAAGAGGGAGACAGGAGAGCAAGGGTCCGGTCGGACGCAGATGTGGGGTGCGTACCAAACTGGGCGGCTTTGGCGGCAGCTTTGGCGGCTGCAGCTGCTGGCGTCCCTGCTCCTGGATGAAGAAAGGAGATGGGGAGTCAGCCCCAACACACCTCCCCACGCCAGCCAGCTGTTCTGGCAGCCCCTGTGGAAGTGCCCCTCTGTGCATGCTGCCTCTTGCTGAGGACACAGGGCAGCAGGCAGAGCCTGGCTTGGGAGGGCTCCCGGGAAGCCCGAGAAGTGACAGAGAGGGAACCCACAGCAGTGACTGAGAGGGAACCCACAGTAGGGGTGTCACAATTGTCCCCCAAACCCTAAAGTAGAACTTTCTGCTGAGGGTGCTGCAAATTCTGATGGCTCAGAATAAGCACTTCCCTGGCAAGCGCAAGGGCCTGAGTTCAATCCCCGGTTCCGTAAAACAAAACAAAAAACATCCTGATAATTCCTGTATCCAAATTATAGGAAGCAATGATCTCTGTCTCTGTCTGAGTCTCTGTCTGTCTGTCTGTCTGTCTGTCTGTCTGTCTCTCTCTCTCTCTCTCTCTCTCTCTCTCTCTCTCTCTCTCTCCCCCCTGTACTGGGGATAACCCCAGCGCCTCACACATGCCAGGCATGTGCTCTACCACTGGCTTCTTTCTTAAGGAAATTGAGAAGAGGAATTTTCTCCTGGAAAGAATAAAGAATGCAGACAAGAAACCTGCTGATGAGAAAAACAACCAAGGAAAGGTGTCGTTGAATGTCATGGTCACTTAATCTCTTCTCTTTGCACTCTGACTGGTGGAGGAGAGAGTCCACGGGAACCTAACAGTGTTGGGTCCTCTACTGCCAAGGAACCAGACAGGCCCTAGGGGGATGTGAGACAGCCCAAGCCCAGCAGCAAGGGCTCAGCCAAGGCGCAGGATGACATTATTGATCTCCCCAGCCAGGGACACCTTATGGGAAATTGTGGCCTGCCTTTCCATCTCTGGGCCTGGTTGACTTGTTTCCAACCCCAGGGTCCTTCTGGGGACCAGCCTATCTCTCCAGTGGGGCCCCAGCTCACCTGGCACTCCTCCGGTGCCTGGCACTACACCTGGCACTGCACCTGGCACTGCGCCTGGCACTGCACCTGGCACCACTCCTCCCAGGCCTCCGGCTCCTGCTGCACCTGGAGGGGCAAGGAGTTGAGTGCACAGCACTGTCTGGCACCTGAGCTTGCTGCTTTAGGATGCGGTGGCTGCTTGGGCAGGCCATGCCAGCCGGAGGCTAAGTGGGAGGTGACAGAGGCTGTGCCCTCCATTGCCCTGAACTTGAAGAGTGGCCCCATGGGACAGTGGAGCTTGGAGATAGGCAGGGCAGGACCACTTACCGTATTTGGCAGCTTTGGCGGCGGCGGCGGCCTGGGCTGCAGCTGGGAGGAGAGGAGAGGAGAGGAGAGGGCATGAGCCACTCTGGTCCTTCCCTGTACTGGGCTGGGTGGGACCACGGCTCCTTGTCTGTACTCCTCCTCCCTGAGCACCTGGAAGTCCATCCCTGCTGCCCTCAGAAGGATTGTCTCCATGCCCTCCATAGGTTTCTCAAATTGGACTCAGGCTTACGAGAAAGGCCAGCTCCAGGGACACCTCCAACTCCGACTCCGACTCCAGGTCCGACTCCCACTCCAGGTCCAACTCCGACTCCGACTCCTGGTCCGACACCAAAGCCAGGAAAGCCCCCGGCTCCAACCCCGGCCCCATAGGCGGGGATGCCCCCAACTCCTACTCCGGCCTGGGCACCTGCAGGAAGAGAGAATAGTGGAGAGACCTTGGTGAGAGAGGACAGGGGGTTCTGGGGGAGGCTGGCTCCTGGGAAAGGGGATGTGTGTGTCCCCCTAGGTCTGTCGATGAGGACAGGAAGGGGAGCAGGGTCACTGTCCCCACTGGAGACACTGGGACTGTCCCACCATTCAATCCATGGCTTCATAGTGGATAAAGCTGTTGGCGACACCACCCCAGGCCCAGCAGGCCCAAGTCCCTTGCTTTGTGACCCCAGGCAAGTCTCTGCCCTTAGTAAGTAGTGAGAGGCCAGATCAGGCAGGGGCAAAGCACTCACCGTATTTAGCTGCTTTGGCCGCTGCTTTAGCAGCTGCAGCTGGCCCAAGAGGCCCTAAAGAGATCAGAGAGACAAAAACGCTCAGGAGAGAATGGAGGAGATGCGCCCAGGACATCCCTCTGTCCATCTCCTCATCTTGCTGCCTGGCCAGTACAAGCTTGTTCTCCCACACACCCACCCACTGTCCCAGCTTGTGTCTGTCTGTGCCTTTTGCCAATCCACTCATCCACCTTTGTCCCGCAGGCACACCTATCCATCCCTCACCTGCCCACCTGTCCATGTTTTAGCCACTGATCCAACCACTCATTTTGGATTCCCCTGCCCACTTCTACCCACCCACCCATTTACCCATCCATGCGTCCATCCATCCTCCTCACTGTGAGTCTGGGCCCCTGCCTACTTAGCTATGTTTTTCTCCTAACCATTCATTTCCTTGTCTCTCTATGTGTCTGTTTGTCTGTGTGTCTGTCTGTCTATCTAACTGTCTATCTATCTATCTATCTATCTATCTATCTATCTATCTATCCATCTATTTATTCATCCTTGGGCCACCCATTCTGGTCTCTGTCCATCCAACTACCCATCTGTTCCCTTACCATGTGACCACTTATCTGTCCACCAGATGCCCATCTGCCCGACTGTTCTCCCACCTGCCCACCCTTCTATCACCCTTTAGTGGTGAGCACCTGCTCAGCTAAGGATAGGGACGGTGTAGACAAAACAGATAGCCCCCTCCCCCCAGAAGTACACTGACACTCGGGAAGTGCTGGGAGTCTGTATTGGCTGCACAGTATCACTTGGGACAGTGGTGCTGATGGCAGCTAATTGGTATATTGTTATACCCCACGGAGGAGCAGGAGGAGGAGGAGGAGGAGGAGGAGGAAGAGGAAGGAAGGAACCATGGCCAAGGATGTGAGCACAGGAGTGGTCTCAGGGAACTCACAAAAGTCTTGGCACTGGTTTATCTCATGCACCCACATGCACTAGCTCACCTGCTCCATCTGCAATGCCTGGGACCCCGACACCTGGGACCCCGACACCTGGAATCCCAACACCTGGAATCCCAACTCCTGGAATCCCAACACCTGGGCCTCTGACACCTGGGATCCCAACGCCTGGGACCCTAACTCCTGGCCCACCAGGCACCAGGCCTCCACCAGCCCCTGAGGAAGGAAAGGGTTTGTTCTCTTGCTGAGTCCTGTGGGAATCTGTTCAGGCCTCCTGTTCAGGGGAGCAATGGGGTGACGGGATCATATGCAGGTGTGGGGGCCAATTCATCAGTGAGCTGGTGGGGGACACTAGGAGTTCTTAGGGTTGGATCTGTGACTGGAGGAGTGTGATCAACTTCTAAAGCAAAACCAGAATCCCTGCTAGGGGGCATCAGGGCAGGGGGTTCAAGAGCAGCCTAAGGACAGGGGACAAGGGACAGGTGGCTAGAGCAGGCACACACAGGATCCCCTCTGGAGTCAGCCTGTAGAACCAGGAGGTGGCATCTCAGGCAGAGAATGCACAAAGGCAAGGAGGTGAGTATAGAGGAGGGACGGAGACAGCCCAGGTGGATGGAGGCAAAGTCTCCTGGCCTTGTGGCCAGAGACCCACACAAAGGCCGGTGCAGGCCCCGCGTCCCAGGGCCACCATTCTGGGGATGCTCACCGTACTTGGCAGCCTTTGCAGCAGCCTTTGCAGCAGCAGCTGCCGCTGGTGTCCCAACACCTGGAAGGACAGCCGCAGGCGATCAGGCCCTTTCCTGGTGATCTTCCCAAGCACGCCCCCTCTCCCCCAGCTGGACCCAGTGCTACCTGCGATGCCTCCAATCCCAGGGATGGCGCCAGCCCCGCCAGGGATGCCTCCCCCTCCGATGCCAGGGATAACTCCTGCTCCTCCAGCACCTGCAGGGACAAGAGCAGCACGATGTGGCTCACCAGACCCCCTCCTGAGGCCAGGCAGTCATGTGAACCTGACCCAGCACCGCTAGGGAAGACCCGACCCCAAGTGTCCATTTCAACAGACTGATTAAGGGAGTTGGACACTTTTGGTCAGATCCCGCTCTAATGACTGTCGCATACTGAGAAACCACAAGTGGCTGCTCACTGGGCCAGAGGGGCCCTCAAAGGGACGCTCAAGGCTTCCTCTCCCTGTGTTCCAAAGACGCGGCCAAGTATCTAAACTGAGCGCCAGGCTCTGGCAGCCCCTTGTGGCTGCCTGCCTGCTCTGCATTCCATCCTTCGCCACCAGCTCAGCCGGTCAAGGAGTCTGGGGCAGGGAGCTGCACAGGGAGTCTGGGGTCCCCCTCACTCCCACCCCCTGGGCTGGGCCTCCCAGCCCACCCTAGAAATGGGAAGGTCCTGGAGGCCTGAGGAGTGGGAGAGGACTGTCGTCTCCTACACTGAGTCCAAGCTGGAGGGTGTCCTGGGGTTCAGCCTGCCGCTTGGGCACGGGATGGCCATGCCACATCAGCAGCAGTGCTGTTCAAGACACCAAGGGCTTGGGGACCAAGTTACATTTTTATAGTACATGTTAAGTTAATGTGCAACTATTAAAATTTAAATGCTTGCATAGGTACCACCTAAAATTATTTTCCCAACTTCCACAGTGCCTGTCCTTGCTTGGCTTCCTCCTTGCTGTTTTAGCCACATGACAAACGCCACCCATGCTTTAGGGCTGCCATCACACGTTACATTACTTTCCCTAGGAAGCTTCCCTAATTTTCCCCAGGTAGAAGTAATTCCTGTTTCTTCTTGGCTTCCCTGACAGTGTTTGTGTGTTCTCACAAAGCTGTTACCTATCCGCTATCTCTGGGACAAAGGAGGAAGGAGAGATAGAGTGGGAGGGAGGGAGGAGGAAGAAGGGATACAGGGATGGAGGAAGGTGAGGTGAGAAGGGAGGGATGAGGAGGGAAGGGTGGGGGAAAGAAGAAGCTGAGTGGGAGGGAGTGAGGACAGAGGGATACAGGGATGGGGAGGGTGAGGTGAAGAGGGTGGGAGGAGGAGGGTGGGATGGAGGGGGTAAAGATGAGGGTAAGGAGAGACAGAGTGGGAGGGAGGGAGGATGGAGGGATACAGGGATGGAGGAGGGCAAGGTGAGGAGGGAGGGATGGAGGAAGGAAGAGATACATGAGTGGACAGTTTAGGAAAAGTTGGAAAAATGGGGTGTCAGGGCCCCCTGGTTGGTCCTCAAGGAACCAATCAAGGCAACAGGATGGCCTGGTGGGGATCCAGCTAGCAAGACACCCCGGGGGTCTTACCATACTTCGCTGCTTTTGCTGCTGCGGCTGCTGCCTGGGAACCAACCCCTGGGAAGGGAGAGGGGGTGAAGAGGGTGCCGTGCCCCAGTCTCAAGACAACCCAGCCATCCACACCAGGGTGTAGTAGGAGATTCACAGCAGTGGTCCCCATCTGGGATCTGCCTCCTGGCTCTGGGGCCTATTTTGGGAGACACCCTGGCCAGCCCCAGGGCTTAGGAGGCATCATGAGTGACCAGACTCCTTCCGCTGGAAGTGGACGAAAACTTCCTTACCTGTCCCTGTCGGGTAGCCAGCTTTGCCCCCTGCACCAGCAACTCCTGTGGGGCAGAGACTCAGGTCAGTGAGCCACCTTCCCTGCCACGCCCTGTGGGGGCTCGGCTGCCCTGAGCTCCCATCCCAGCCTCCTGTCCCCCCAGCCATCAGAGTGAACACAATCAAACCTGCCTGTGGGGTCATCACTCCCATTTTACAGACCAGGCATGCTGAGGCTTGGAGAAAGGAAATGGCTTGCTAGCGGCCTCATGATGAATGGAGGCCGGGACTAAGAACCAGGCTGCCTGAGCCTGAATTTCATGCTATGTCTTCTGGTACCTCCAATCCGACATCCACAGCCTCCCAGCCCGGGCAGGGCCATGGCGCCCTTTGCCCGCCCCAGGAGCCAGAAAGGGCTGGAAGCCTTAGGTGCGGCAGTACTGTACTCACCATAGGGCAGCTTGCCGTTGGTGTAGGGCAGTCCGTAGCCACCTAGGCAGAGAGCAGGGTGGGATCAGGGCTGCCCCGGCCTTGCTGGGCTCCCCACCTTGGAAGGACAGAGCTCCCCACAGGGGCTGAGACTCCCCAGGGGCCCTGCGAATGGGACTTCTGTGCCCTGCAAATCCTGGCCCACTGTGGGCGTCTCCCTCGTGCCCCTGCTCACAGGGAGACATCATGGCTTAGCTGACTGTGGAGGTGGGCGTGGCTTGACACCAGGAGGGTTTTCTGAATCTTTCTTTCTTTCTTTCTTTCTTTCTTTCTTTCTTTCTTTCTTTCTTTCTTTCTTTCTTTCTTTCTTTCTTCCTTCCTTCCTTCCTTCCTTCCTTCCTTCCTTCCTTCCTTCCTCTCTTTTTTTCTCTTTCCTTTTTTGTTTCTTTCCTCTTTTTCTTTTATGGTGCTGGGGCCTGAATCCAGGACCTTCACACTAAGCTACATCCCTAGCTCTTTTTATTTTTATTTATCTATTTTGAGGAACCAGGGATTGAACTCAGGCCCTTGTGTTTGCCAGACAAGTGCTTATTCTACTGAGCTATCTCCCCGGCCCCCTAGCCCTTTTTAAATGTTTTATTTTAAGACAGAGTCTTGCTAAGTCTAAGTGTTTTAAGTTGGGCTTGCACTTCGATCTTTCTGCCTCAGCCTCCCAGAGGGCTGGGATTCCGGGCATGCATGGCCGCTCGTGCTCGGCAGAGCCCTTCTGACCACCCCGCCAGGACCCGGGTGCTGCTCAGGTGTGTGATTTAACACCTGCAGGCTCTGTCCCCATACTTTCCAGCAAGGTGACCAGAAGTAGCTTCTGTCCACAGGTTCCCCTCCCCATACCACCCTAGGCCCAAATCCCCCAAAGCTGATTTCCCTCCAATTCACCTGGTAGCTTAGGTGCTTTGATGGGGTACCCCAGGGGGACCCCAGGCTGCTGGCCCCCAAAGGGCCCAACCCCTGTAGGAAAAAAAAGCAAGTGAAGGCCTGGTTCCTTGTGCTGGCAGCCTCTTCTACACACCTGCCTACCACTGGCTTCCTGCTCAGAAGAATGAGCTCCCTCAGGTCCTCCCTTCGCCCACTGCCCAGGAAAGGCCGCCTCCTCCGGGGAGCTGCAGGGTTCTTCCCCGGAGTTCCAGCCTGTAGCCTTGCAGCCCTGCAGCCACTGGCACAGGGCTGGCTTCCCTGGGCATGGCTGGTTGCTACAACCCTGGGCCTGGGGTGGATGGCAGGCCTGTGATTCCTGCCCCTCTGTGCTGAAGCCAGCTTAAGGCCTGGAACAGGGGCCTGGGGTCGGGTGGCTTCTGGGTGCCCAGCCCTGCCCAGGGCAGGTGCCCCTGCCTGGCTGACCACCTGCCAGTCTTTCTACCCTGCTGAGAGGAACAGTCTTGTCTCACCTGGGATTCCGGCAAAAGCTCCACCCCCGCCTGCAAGGACAAAGAGTGGTCATTCTGGCACCGTGGCTGCAGGGCACAGTGGTACCAGCAGCCAGCCCGAGGGGTGGGCTTGTGAGGCCTCATACATGCTGTGGGGTTTCTTCACAGCTGGGCCATAAGCGCTCACCTAGAGGGCCCCGATGAGCCCAGAGTCCCCACGAGCATCCCACACTGCAAACTGGGGATCTGAGGGAAGTGGGAGCCCCAGCCCTGGCTTTTCTCTGGAGATGCATACCTGGGGTCTTGGCCTTGACTCCGGTTCCAGTGGGGACCCCAGGGAGCACCCCCACTCCAGGGAAGCGAGCTCCTGAGCGGAAAGGGGGCAGAGAAGAGAGGACATGAAGGGCCTGCTTGGCACTGCCTCAGGTCCCCTCCCATAGTGACTTCTGGTGACAGGGACATGTGTGGTAGGTAGCAAAAGGACCTGTTTGGTGGAGGACTTCCCTTGCTACTTGGTTCAAGGTCAGGTCTATTTTTTTCTGCCTTTTGTTTTTAGAGACAGGGTCTCTCAGGCTGGCCTTGAACTCTTGGAGATAGTCCTGCCTCAGTCTTTTTTGAGTGCTGGAGTTACAGGCGTGCCTCACTATGTCTACCTCACAAGGCCTGTTTTAATCAGATTTCCCAGCTGGCAACCCAGTGGGACTCACAAAACCCTCTCGGGAGCCTCAGGAGGGGTGGTGCAGAAAGCCAAAGCCAGAGCTGAGGGTGCCGCACCCTGGCCACTGCGCTGTGGCTGGAATCCTCTGCCAGAGTCTCCCATCTCTCCCAAGTCCCCTGGGCCTTCACCAGGAACAGGAGAGGAGGGTATTGTGCCAGCAAATCCCACAGAGCCATCCGAATCTGGGCTTTTGGGGGATTTCAGGAGGTCATGTGTTGGGGGGGTGGCGGGGAGGGGTGGGTGAGTGGCATCTCTGAGGGTTTCAGGCAGTGTGGACTTGACTTGCTGGGCGGGCCTCCTGGTGACTCAGGGCTTCTGGGAAACAGCTGGCTCCACTGGGGACTCAGTCTGCCCTCAGGGACCCGCCTTAGGCTGTGATGAAGGTTTGGGCCCGGAACCAGGGGAAGTTGTGTGTGTGTGTGTGTGTGTGTGTGTGTGTGTGTGTGTGTGTGTGTGTTTTACTGGGAATTGAACACAGGCCTTGTATTTCCTACCCTTTTTTTATTTTGAGACCGGCTCTCTTTAAGTTTTTAAGTTGCTTAGATTGGGCTCGAACTTTTGATTATCCTGCCTCAGCTTCCCAGACTGCTGGGGTTACAGACATATACCACCACGCATGGAAGAAGCTGGACTTTGATGCTGGCGATCTTATCCCCATTCGCTTGAACCCGACCCTTAGGGAAATAGCCACTGGCCGGGACCCAAGGCCTCTGAGAGGCCTCTGCCTGAGAGGAGCAGGGAGCAGTGGTCAGGGGCTGCTTTCTCCCTGTATTCGTCTCACCTGTGCCTGGGAGCACTCCACCTGGGTACACACCTGGGAGCCCCACACCTGCAGCCAGAGGAGGAGGGAGGGGCCATGGTCAGCAGCTGAGCCAGGGACCCCTCCTGGCCTTCCCACTAGGAGTCCCATGCCGGCAGCCCTTGTGCCCACCAGGGCCACTGGGGACAGATGCAGGGTGACCGTGGCCCTCCTCCCATGAGTCTTGGCTGTCATCTGTGATCCCTCTGTGCATGGATTTATCTCTGTCTCCAGGAGCCTGTTTACATGGCCAGCCAGTCCAGCCCACCTCCACTAACGGCTTCCAGATGTCCCCTCCTGCTGTGTGGACTCAGGCAGCCTTTTGTTTAACCTGAAGTCACTTCCTAAAGGGCTGGGTGCAGCCCAATGAGCACCAGATGGGTGTCAGGCCCACCCCAGCTCAGCCGCAGTGGCCATGGGCCCTTCCTCTCTGCTGTCCCCCTGAGCTGCAGCTGCCCCACCTGCCACCCCACAGCCTGCCACAGAGCTGGTCTCCGAGGTTGCATTCTTCTCCAGTTCTGTCTCATGGAAAAGGTCTCGTGTTTTGGGCAGGGATGTTGCCTGCCTTTCCTCCAGGCCCACGGGGCAGCCTGGTCCCTCCCTGACCTCTGACCCCCAGCCCCAGAGACTCCACACTGACCCGGAACTTTCCCTGGCTTTCCTCCAGCTCCAACTCCCACTCCAGGCTGAGGCACTGCGGCACCTGGCAGGAACAGGAGGGCATTGGAGGTGGCGCCACCTTGGCTGAAGCATCACCTAGCGTACTCAGGTGCAGCCACCATACCTGTAGACACTCCTAAGCCACCAAGTCCACCAACACCACCAACACCGCCAACGCCGCCAATGCCGCCAACACCACCAACGCCAAGTCCTCCAACACCGCCGAGCCCGGCACCTGGAGAACCCAGAGCAGTGAGAGAGGGGAGCAGAGCCATGCAGGATATTGAGGAGGAGGGGGAAGGGATGGGCTGCAAACCGGTGGCCCTGCCACCCACCCACCTTGGCTGGAGCACACTTAGCTGGCTCCCAAGATTGGAGGGGAGGCTCTGTTCTGCTGCCCAGGGGAGGAAGCCAAGGGTGGGGACGGTGGCCTGCCCCGGACACCACTCACCAGCCTTGGCAGCTTTATAAGCAGCAGCGGCAGCCCCTGCTGCTCCACCAGGCACCAGGGCCCCTGGGTAGGTGCCTGCAGGAAAGGCTCCGATCCCTGTGGAGGGGACACAGTGAGGCCCTGCCAGGTCCCTGCCTGCTGGCCACTGCCAGCCTGGGACCTCTGGGGTCTTTTCCACCGAGGGTCAGATTCATTGCCCAGCAGCCATGGTGCTGAGCAGGCATGTTGAGTGGTGCAGACAGTGTTCCCCACCTTTGGGGCTACATGCCTCCCTGCCGCCCCCAGTGTGTGGCCCAGGATCCCCTGCAATGGATCTCCTGGCCCCCAGAGGTGCCCCCTGCAGCTGAGTCACTAGGTTAGGACTGCATCCAGCTCCCAGCTGCCATGTGCTCAGGGCAGCTGCTTGGGGCAGGTGGTGTCTGCATCCCCATCTGATCCCTGGGAAAACACCCTGGCTGCCCTGCTACCAGGCTGAGCTCAGGGCTGTCCACAGGAAGCATCTGACCCAGGTGTCACACTCACCTGCTCCAGGGGTGGCACCAGCGCCAGCGAGCCCACCAGGACCTGCAGCCAGGAAAGAGTGGGTAAGGAGGGGGTGGTACGTGGGCCTCTAGCTGGGCTCTGCACTGAGTGGACAGCTGGGTCTGGTACCTCCTAGAATGTGCCAGCTTTGGGCATTCAGCAGGGAGGGGTGCAAGTGAGGCCCCTCCCCAGGTCTGACCTTGCCCCCCGCCCTGTCATTTCCTGGCTCTCCCCTGACTCAGGCCCTTCCCCGTTCCTCATCTGGGTCTGGGAAGCCCTCTGCCCCCACCATCTGTCCAGATGTGAATGCAAAGCCAAACGAGCCCTCTGGCCCTCTTCCGCACATGTGCATCGCTCCCTCTCCAGGACATTCCTCAGCTCCAGGGGTGAGCCCTCCTGGGGACCCCACACTTGAGGCCTCTCTAGCTTCCCGCCTCCAGTCAGCCCTGCTCATTCATTGCCCATGTGTGTGACCTGGGCCTGGGGTAAACTGAGGCAGACCCTTTGTTCAGATGGTCTGCGAGTATGGAGGTAGGGCCTGGGCCATGCAGGCCACTTCCCAGCTCCACGGTGGGCCTGTTTCCTGTGCTCCCCAGGGAGGGGATATGCTTAGACTTTTCCTGTCCACACAAGGGTTGGGAGGGGAGGATGGCCCTGGACTGGGAGACAGAAGGTGGGCAGGGGAGGAAGACCCCAGCCCTTTCCCCATAGTAATATCAATTGTTCCAACCCCGCTGCTCTCCTTCTGGACTCACCGACCCCAAACGTCCCCAGCAGCCCAGCACCTACAAAGGAGAGAGGAGACCAGCTGACTGCAGCCAGGAGCCCGGGACCCCACTGGCCCAACCCTCTTCCTTCCTGGAGACAGGAAGCCCTGCATTCAGATCTGTGCTGTCTTCATTCTCTCTGTGAAGAAGCCCCTCCTTTGCTTCCCCGAGCCTCAGTTTCCCCATCTACAAGCGGCCACTATGCTCCCTACCTTCCTGAGCCCCATGAATGGGTGAGCTTAGAGGCCCTAGTGTATGGGGCCGTGGGGTGCTGTGTCCACGCCTCTCCCTGGGGCAGCTGGCCTCCAGCTGGTGCTAGGGTGCGGGAGGGCGGCGCCCAACCACTTGGCCCCCTGCTGAGAGCCCAGGCTGGGCAGGGCCCATGTGGAGGAGCCGCTGCCAGGCCACCCACTGTAGCACCAAGGGATTAATTGTTCTCAAGCATGACACGCGCTGCCTGTGCCCTGTCCTGTCTTGTCTGGGCAGGCTTGGATGTCCCCTCCCCCCTGGAGAAGGGGAACTTTTTTTGGGGAGGGGTTCTGCTAAAGTCCTGAGGCTGGACGGGTGACCTCAGTGAGGTCTCAGAAGCCAGTCCCTGACTCTGTCACGCACTCTTCATCCAAAGAAGATGTCCTGACTTTCCTTTGGGTCTATTCCTTCACCCTAGCTGGAAGTTCTTTCAGAAGTCTAATCTAAGTCTTTCATTATTGAATCCTTCACTTTAGCAGCTACCCAGTTGGAAACTGCATGCAGTGGTCTGCCTCTCCAGGAAGGTAGAAGCAGGGAGCTCCTCTCTCCTGACCTCACAGACCTCGGGAGCCCCTGGCCTGGACGCCCTGCCCTCCATTTCCCTCTGCTTGCTGTCTGGGGTTTCACAACAGCCAGGCTTGCTTGAATCTGGGAATCTGGTCCCACAGATCCATCCACACTTGGATCACCGAGCTCGGGGATTTCGTAAGAGCTCTTGGACATCCAGCAAGCACCCTGTCCCAGAGTCTGGGGCTTTAGACGCTGGGAGGAGGCAGGGTGAGGGGGGGCACCAAGCCACATGTGGAGCCTGTCACTCTGAGGGGGCCGTAAAGGCTGTAAATCTGGACGGAGATGCTGTGTTTCCTCCACCTGCTCTTTGTCGACGCCCCCACTGCAGCTTCCTGAGCTGACAGTGACTCCTGCCACCCCCAGGTCCAGAGAACAGGAAGGGCGCTTATCTGGGGCTAGGGTTAGAGTTTAGTCTGGGGTTAAATTCAGGGCTTGGTCTGGGGTCAAAGTGGCATCGAGGGCCAGGAGTCCATCTTTTACAGCTTGGTGGCTACTGAGACCACAATTTTTTTTTTTTTTTGTGACAGGGTTTACCTACATAACCCAGGCTGAGCTTGGACTCACAGTGATCCTCCTGCCTCAGCCTCCTTGGGATTACAGGCATGTGCCACAATGCCCTGGCCTCTAGTCTCTACTTTTGGCTCTGGGTCAGGCTGTTGCTGAGTCCCCTGGAGTCTGGTCCCTACCCATTAACACCTGGGGGCTGCAGTCCCTGATCTTGGCTCTCTGGCCTGGCTTGCAGCTTGCAGCCTATGGGACCCCTCAGCCTGCCGCCTGCCCAGACCTTCCGTGCTGGCTCTTACCTGGCTTGGGTGGTTTGCCTCCGGGTCCCAGCCCTGCAGGAGGAGATGGTGATAAGTGGGGACTCCAGGGCCCTGTCTTACTTTCTACCCACCCTACCTGGAGGGCAAAGAGGGGATGGGGGAGCCCTTGACCTCAGACACTGAACTACTGGGACCCAGCCTGGCCCAGATTAATGGCTCAGCTTTGTCCTAGGGGAGATGGTCTATACCTTGCCAGCCTGGCAGTGGGTGTTGGTGAAATCAATAGGAATCTGAAAG